AAAATCTGTGCTATTATTAACAGTTAAGAATATTTTTGAACGTGCAGTAATGCAACGCTAGATATTTTTTAATATTGTAGTAATGTATTAATTCAAAATTTCTATTATTGTTTTTTCCGTTGACGTGACATAAACTATCGGTCCAATAATTAGTGCAATGTCTTAGAAGATTTATATATATATATATATATATATGTGTGTGTGTGTGTGTGTGTGTGTGTGTGTGTGTGTGTGTGTGTGCAAGTTTCGTTAAAAACGACTGACAACTTCATGGGGTTAAGTTTTATTTATATAATTTTTCAAGTGATTTTATATATTTTTTTTTCTTTTCAGGGCATAAATTATATAAAAATTGTCCGAATGTTTTATATATCCAAGAGCTTTCGGCTACACTTTTCGCAATTATGAAGGATTAATTTGATTTTACCTTTAACTGAATGTATGGATTGTTTATATATGTATCTAGAGTTCAAGGAATGTTGTATTTTCCAAACACGGTCAGCATATTGTGGTCGTGTTCATAGTTGATATTACTCAGTGCTGGCTTTTTCTTTTTTTTTTATTAATAATGCTTCCCTTAGTTCTAGTCTTTTCCACATGCGAATGTGGCTAATATATTTGTATTATGAACGAGTATGTTACGGATAGTGTTTGGTAACATTGTAATTTATTGTTCTTTCAGGCTTTAAATTTCTTTCTCCAAATATTTATTTATATATTCTGAAGCGTTTGAAGCAATATTAACAAAAAGAAAATTATTTCTATAATATTTAGAACGAGAAAAACCTCTTTTAAGTGTCTATGTGCCGGACACATGCAAGTATTTTTGCGCAGTCTACCGAAAACATGGATATTTTACAAGCCACAAGGTTTACACAAATAAACCACCCACAGTTGTCCTCTCGTTGGGTTGAAGACAAATACATTCCATGAATGAGTCAGTCGTCATTCTAGATTTATGAATGAGTAAAGAGGTCGCAGGAAAAGAAAAAAAAGGAAAAAAAGAAAGCGAAAGAAACAACAAAACAACCAAATAATGTGAATCTACCTTCATTTAATCTGACTAAATTTTGATCAAAATGTATTATTCATAATTGATCAGAAATATTAATATTTAATATTTGCTTGTGTATCTATCAATCCCATATACATGTCAATGTAAAGCTCCTATTTTCAGAAATTGGTTACTCCAATAGAACTGAGGTCGTTTTATTTATACTAGAATTTTGTTTGCAACACGCTGACTCATGTTGAAATCAGTATTTATTATTGTTGAACTTATCGCTAACATTTTTTGTTGAGATTAACAAAGTCTCCGTTGCGTTCAATTTCGCAAATCAATCGAAGAAATTTGAATAAGCTGATTTGTTTAGAAAAATATTTTGGCAGGAACCCTACTTCGCAGTTTAATAATTTCTTTAATTTTATAGTACTTGATGGTAAACAATGATTTTTTTAAAAATTTCAATTATACCTTTTTAAAAGCGAAGAATACATTCTTAGGATTTCTTACTCTTGAGCATGGAACATACAACTGGCCATGCGTAAATATTTCTCCAACATTTTGAAGCGTTTTGCCTTATGATTTTGTTTATAGTTCTTTCAAACGCAGTGTTAACTGGAAACTGGATTCTTATAAAACTTAGAGAAAAGATGTGCAAAAAACAATATTGAATTTTTATTAAACAAGTCTTTGTTATTTTAATCATTAAACGGTTTCTTAAATAGTGGAGGTTTTGGAGTCTGTCTATATTTCTGAGATGAGGTATTATGTACATTATTTACATTATTCGGACTATTGTCCGCATCTTTGTCGCCATATTTATCATAACGTTTCGGCCGTTGTACGCTCCGGCCTTCTTCAGGTGGTTGGAATTTCGAACTGAACCCTTTATTTCGCTCACTGGGGTAGACTGTTCTAGTTCTACGTGCCATGTTTGATGGATGTCAGTTATTAGTTATCTCCTGCTAATTTCCCTCTGAAAGTTCTCCACTGCCTTAACCGGGTAATGAACTCACACTCTTTGGGTCCTGTCACTGGATCTAATCAACGCCTTTATCCACTGTGCCATGAGTCCTGAAGTGAATACTGGACAACTTCTTTAGTGACGAAGAAGAGCTTTCAGTAATAGGGTAATTCTGTTTTTCATGTTTTTTATAAAATCAAGTTTAGACTCAGTTTGCATGCTGGAAATCGATGTGCTAAGCACTGAAACTATAAAGTAGATTCATAACCCCTACCAATTATTAAGCATTTAGTTTTAAATATCATCTGAAAAATATACAGAAATGCCTAATTTCCCCAGGTTTTTGTTTACGAACTGACTTCAACCATTTTACTATTTTACGAATAAAACCAAATAAAATTAATATATTTTATATTAGATAGATTTAATGGAAAATATATTCAAAACAGAATTTGATTTAGGAAACATTACAAGCAAATTCTTCAGATTTTTTTAATGTATTCGATAAGCAAAATCTGTGTAAACAAATTGTAAAAGATTACAAAAATGGCTACTTAATGAATAAGATTTGTTTGATCTTTTGTTAGACGATAATTAATAAAAAATATAGACTAGATAAAAATGTATATAACACCATAATACTGCTGGGAACAAAGACGAAATATTTTAAGTTTGTTTATTGAAAATCACCCTAAAACTACTGCACTGTATTATATATCATAATATATTAAGTTGTCACACATGAAATGACACACTTTATAGGAAATGAATAAAACACTTCTGAAATATTAAATATCTAATTTATGTAGTTGAAATAGGCACCATGTTGATGAATGACTGTTCTCCAACGTACTTATAAATTCTTCATTCCATCCTTAAAAAATATTCTCATCCTTTGATGTGATAAACAGTTCAAATGCTTCAACTACTTCTTCCTTATTGGAGAATTGCATGTGAAAATCTCAAAATGTTTAAATAGGTGATAATCAGTAGGAGAGATATCAGGTGAGTATAGAAGATAAGGCAAAAAAAGTAATCAAACCTTGTGTAATTAAATTTGACGTGCTGAACCAGGGAATTATGGTCAAGAAGAGAGATTTCAATGTCTTTGAGCCTTTCCGAAAAATCATGGCTGGGAGAATTTACCTGCTTATTTGCAGTCACTGCATCAGTCATGGTCCGAGAAGCGAATATCACCAACCGCCGACTTCACTTAAATAACGGCTTTCCAGTACTAGACAAAATATGAGCGGTTGTGGTAGAAAGTGCAAATATTTGTAATCATAATAAAGTAAGAATGCATTATGAAACACATTATGTTGATCTTTTTTTATCTGCAGGGATGCATAGAAGCAAACCATAAAACCAAATATCCATTACCGAATGTCAACGGAGAAAGGCTGCCTGGTCAAATGAGGTGTATTTTCTCCTGAATATGTTGGCTGGTAGAGCAGGTGGACGTCGTTGTCCTGGGGAAATTATAACATCAGGATGTGCAGCAAGAAAATAACAGACAGACTGAAATTGTTTGATGGTTTTGACAAAGTTCTGCTTGGTCTTCACCTTCATGTTGAAAGTATTTCGTCGGGTATCATCTGGAATGACATCACGAGGTGCACAACTTCATCACGGTTTTCTCTGTCTATTGTAAATGGATAGCATCTGGAACATGAACAATACATCACTTCGATTACTTAGCTATCAAACTCTCCAGATCTAAATAAAGTTGAACGTAATGAACCAACTTCTCAGTCTGCAACTAAGAAATTTGGTTTACTATGTGGTGCTAGACACTTTTTCTCGCCAGAATATATCTTATAAGTCTACCATTCTTCCTTACTTTAAATATTCCTGCCACATCTTGTCTGGTACTCCTGCTATATATTTAGAGTTTTTTTGTTTTTTTTTATTAAATCTAAAGAAGAATGTTATTGGTCTTCTTGGCTTCAGTCCTTTTCCCACCCCCGTAACGTGACTTCCCTGTACCTTTTATATAAATACTTTCATGGTTAATGTTCTGATAAACTTTCCGCTATGGCACCTAGATATTATGAATTTAAGCGCAGTACTAGATTGGCATTAAGGTCTCATCATTTTACAGTTGAAATGGCTAGATATAACCGTACGTTCTTTTCTAACAGTTTCTTCGATCGCGTTTCTCGCTTATGGAACTCTCTTCGTGCTTCTTGCTTCCCAATCAATTTTTAAAAAATTAAAATGTAATGTCAATCGTTATAGTATGTCTTCTTAATCCTTGTTCTTTTCTTGTCCTCTCTCCTTACTATTTTTCTCATATTACTCTCGCTCAGTAACCCCTTGCGTTTTAGTGGCTTTATCGCCTTGCTTGGGGGGGAAATGATTAAAAAAACAATTTGAGAAATGTGTTGAACCAACATACTCGCTCTTGAGAACCTCCACCACTTAATTAGCTTGCAGTTAAATACTTTTTAAAAACCTAATATCAGACCCCACAGGAAACCATAATGACCTCATGATTTCTCAGGCAGACGATATGTAAACACATAAAGGACAAAAACATTTTAATGCCGACCGTAAAATCCGGTATAAATATTTAAAAAAAAAAGCCGGTATTAATCATAGATTTCTAAAACAAACTGATATTGATTATTGGCTTCTATCTGTAACTGTTTAAAAACTCGGTGTCACATCTATGGAATATTAAATTGGTTTGGTTATTCAGTGTATATAATATCTGAGTGATTTTGTTCATTCATCGGTACTTGATGCCAATATCTGTTAGTTTGATATGCCAACACACCTATGGGTTATTTTATACCGCAATCTAAATATTTTGTACGCAATTATTTTTTATTTAATTTTAGTGGCGTTGGGGAGATAATAACTGTTTTCGTGATACAAGTCTTACTAATTAACCTATAGCTTGGGAGAAAAAAAGGTGAATGCATGCCTTTCCCAAGGGTATTGGCGCGTAAGAGAATATGACAAATCCAACAGGAACTGAAACTCCGTTCTTCAATTAACAAGCCATTATCCAGCACCCGCACATTCAAACTTGCAGTACCTAGTATTCCCAAGCGGTTACCCATGTAGGTACTAACCAGGCGCGATGTTGCTTAACTTCCGTTATCATACGGAAACCGGTGTTTCAAGGTGATGCGGCCTTAAGCCTCTCAGATAGTTGATATCAACTGCATTATGGATAATTTCTCACCGGTTGAATTATATATAGTTGTTTAAATCTACAGTGTGTTTGTTTTACAGACACAGAATCTGCAACTATTTTCTAACTATCATTATACAGTTTCAGTTGGCAGGGTTTGAATTCAGAGTTTTCTTTCTCCTAGACTGGTTGAAAACCACGGCGAGAGATCCACATCTACCTTACTATTTAATGCATAGCTGGAGGGGGGTATAAAAAAAGATGGAATCATGCTGTTCCAGGGAAATTTTGTGCGAAAGTGCTCCCAACGAGAAATCAGTGAGCCGGGTTCGAATTCCCGCCGAGTTCGTTCACTTACTCTCATATTGGTAGAGTCGGGCCCTCCAGCTGTGGTTTCCAACTCTTCTAAGACAAGAAAAACACTGAAATCAAACCCAGCCACCTGAACCTGCGAATCCAATTGCTTTTTATAAAATTCAATAACTGTACCAGTTTTATTGTTTTAAATCTTTTGTCGGCGAATCATAAGGCCAAATTGCTAATCCGACCTGAGCTCTGAAAATACGGACGTCGGACTATTGGAATTGTTTCTGTAATTGACGTGATGCCTATTTATAAGCGAACCCGGTTGATGAATGTCCAAGTTGGAATGTTATCAGACTGTCGATAGCTTCGGGATTTGGCGAGCAGCGAACTTTCACAGATAAAATGAAGTCTCTTTGACAGCAGCAACAACAACAACAAAGACAGGGGAGGACACTATGTCGTAGCGATTCTCCTGCCATATGCTAATATCAGCCGGTACAACACAAGTCTTGACCAATCTTATCTGACCACACTCACTGGCGAGGAGGAGGTAAAATCAGAAATATTCGAATCACAGCAGTCAGTCATTGCGAGATTGAAGGGCGGTATTTAAATTTTATTGAGTGTCCGTGCATGTATGCAAATCACTTGGCACCACCACCCCTCGGAGATACCGGAGATGGGGGCGTTAATCTATCAAACATGGCCGATTCTCATTCGCCACATGAATTATTCAATTTGGTCGACCATAAATTCATTCGAACAAGACAAGCAATATTAAAAATCCTTACAATTTGTCTTGTCTTTGCAGATCTCATTAATTTAAAGCACATAACTGACCGCACAGAATATTGGGCCATTTTTGGTCGGAGCTGAAACGCACATAAAACAACAATTGTGTATGAAAATATCGATATTTATGAAGTTTATTTTTGTCTGGCATAAGGCTAATATATATTGGGAGCTTAGGTTCGAACCCCGAGCTATTATTTTGAGTAATGTGTTTGATGAATATGGTTTTGCGATCGCTCTCAGAGAATATGATTTTTAGATGATGAGAATAATTCTTTATTATATTATTTCTATTAAAATAAATTTCTTTAATTTGAGTTAAATCATCAGAAAGATATCTCTCCTAGATTTAAAGAGAAGGAAATTCTATTCTTATGTGAGTTTACACAGTTATAGCTATGCGGCAAGTATAGCCTCTTCAAAAATCTAATAATATATTTTCGGTGTATAAGACGCAACACTGTAGCCAAAGATTTAATGTCAAAATGTGCTCGCATTCTACATATATATATATATATATATATATATATATATATATATATATATATATAGCTGGCCACTCGTATTCGAGGATAACTTTCTTTCAACACACTCAAAACCTCAGTCGCAATGACTTGTGACTTCATTGCTAGCACAGCTACCGACATAAGGGTTCCGTCTACCCAATTTCACTCCAAGGCTTAACATATATAAATAAATATATATATATATATATATATATATATATATATATATATAAATATGTATGCATATATACAGAAATACACACATACATACATACATGCAAACACACATATATAAACACACACACACGCACACACAAGCATACACATATATGTGTGCGCACATGTGTGTGTCTGTGTGCATGTGTGTGTATATATGTATATATATATATATACACACATGCATATATATATATATATATATATATATATATATATATATATATATATATATATACGCACACATACGTAAGATTAATGGAGCAGATATGACGTCATCATCACTGCGATAGTTGTTCCAAGTCAACTATTTTTCATGTTGAGGAAAAGATGATAGTCAAATCAGGTGAATAAGGAGTATGATCAAGATTAAGAGGTATAGTTACGCAAAGTTGCCATTGATATCAAAGACTTGTGTGATGGAGCATTGTTCCGATTAAAAAGACCCCTTTCCTCAGTTTTCTAGGTCTTTTATTCTTTATAGCTTTTCATAAGTGCCTCAGCAAGTACTCTCCATTAATGAAGATAGTCAACAAACAAAATGCTTTTGCACCCAAAAGGAGGAGGATGGTTTCCACCTCGTCTATTGTCCCTTTGTCTTTGACTCAATGGAATGAACCCAACACTCATTCTGGGTTAGGAAACATTCAAGGAACAGCCTGGTGCGATTTTGATCAAGGTGTCAAAATATATGCCAACCTTCGTCATGCCAAGTTCATTGTGCAGACTATTCTAAACTCTCTCACGGGGCATGCCAATTAGGTATTCGATTTATAGTTAGTCGCCTGTCATTCATCAGCATGGGGTGAACACGATCAATGTTTCCCTCGGTGGGGGCAGTTGGGGCACGTCCAGACCTTGGGTCATCATCATGACTCTCTCTTCCTCCTCCTAAATTCAGCTGCCTACTTTTGCACTGTTCATAAAGCTGGAGTGTCATCGCGTAATATACCAACCAAGTCAACATAAATGCCTTTGGGAGCTAAACCCTATTGCATCAGGTACTTCATACATCACAATGCCAAATTTTGTCCATTTTCAAGAGAAGTCAGTACTTGTTACATTTGAAGTCTTCTTTGAACAGTTATATATCAGTTTACCAAGAGAGGAGCAATGGAGTTATTAATAAGATGAGCTGAAATTAATGTTTGCAAGATTTCACAGTTCTAGCATCATTCTTTCACAATCAGGTTATGAACTTTACAATCCAATCTCGTATTTCTTCGTCCTTAACTCCATCGATAAAAACCATCATTTTTCTGGTAATGCTCACCCGAGAAACGAAACGAATAAAATGGATGTTTTTTTTTTTTCCTTTTTTAACTTTATCATATCAATCAATGTATGTATGCGCGCGTGTATTCGTGTATGAGTGGATAGATACATTGGGACCTATTAAGTCCTCCTCTGTCCAGTATAAAGTAATACGTCGGCAAGAAAATCGTTTTGCAGCAAACTTAATAAAAGTAATGTCATACCTGAAATGAAAATCTCTATTTCAAGTCTAGGTAGGTAGCGCGATATACTTAGTAGGTGATAGATAGATAGATAGATAGATAGATAGATAGATAGATAGATAGATAGGAATGACAAATATGTCTCGTAATTAACTCTGAGACACAAATGGATAGATGAATTTGAAAAATTAAACGAGGCGATTTAAAAGAAAGAAGCGATGACTTCTGTCATTATATACCCAAAAAAGAATAATGGAAAGAAAAAAACTACAAGAGAAAAAGAATGACATGCAAAAGTAGAAGATTGTATAAACTAAAAAAATTTAAAAGAAAAAACACGTGAAAATTGAAGAGTTATAAAAACACCAGTTATATTTCTGTAGAAACAGGCCATCGACCATCTTGGTCAATTTCCAGTGGGCGAAAAAGGCGGCTGCACTCTTAACATGCATTTGCATATATTTTTATCAGATGGATGAGCAATTTCGTATCGAGGTCATTCAGATCGCCATTTTTCTATGCCTTTTATTTGACTACACCAATCTTTTTTTTTATCGTTTTCACTTCTGTTTGCTTCTTGTGTATATGTAATTTACAAACACAATTTAAACCTTGGGTTCCTCGGCATTGGCTAGTCGTTGGCAATTTAATCTGTTTAACCAAAACTACTGAATGCTGGCCGCACTTGTATGTAAACTTTGTAAAACGAAACCGTATTTAACCCTTGACCACGTTAAGAATGACATCGACTGGCATATTTGTAATGCATTTTCCTCCAGGACAGAGGCAATCCCACCTCTCCACAGATTCCATTGTTTTATCCGCAATTTGCCATGGCTACTTGGGAGAGATAATGGAATATTTTCAGTTTAGTTTCTCCTCAGTTGTTTTTTTTTGGGGGGGAAGGGGGGTGCTAAAAATGCACAATTTAGGCCATAATTATTTTAAAGGGTGTGGAAGGGGTACAATAGATGCAGTATTTCTCAACAGCATTAGTGCTAAAATGAATGCAACAGACTAAGCTTGGGATTTTAACTTAGATCGTTAAGAAACACCGTATTTATCTGCAAAATCTTTATGAAAGTCTCTTCCATGTACTGAGTTCTTTCAGGATCATGGATCTCCACAATTTCCTGTCCTCTGTAGCTATTAATAAATTTTGTGCTGTTGTTATCTCTCCCATAAATTCTCTGTCATCTATTTTCAAAAATTTGCTAGGTAGGTTATGTATTGTTTTCCTCTATCCTTTTTGCATTCAACCTGTCATGTGAGTATCAAATTTTCCGAGCCCTTTTTTCCTGATTTTTGTTCCCTTGAAATTTCAATTGTCTCTTCCTGATGTTAAATATTAGTGACCTTTGTGCTTCCATTTTCTCTAAAACTTCGTCGCTGCTCACATATTTGATCCATGGTATTCTCATCATCCTTCAGTAGAACTACATCTGAGCAGAGATCGCCCAGAACTAACTGGCATGCGGGAGGACAGATATTACATAACTCTTCAGTACTCTTTACTTTGTCTCTAACGAAATGTTTCTGTTTCTTGATACTTGGCTTAGACTCTGGAAGATATCTTTCGTAACTAAATGCGTCTTCGGATTTCAGTGTTGCATCTGGTGAAACACTTCCCAGACATTTAAACTGTTGCACTTATTAGATTTTACTATCTAATATAGGACGCCATGGTATCTCCAAATTTTAACTTTCATGTTGAGAT